ATTGTTAATGGCTGAGAATCTATGAATACTGTTAAATCTTCTGTTAGTTTTACAACCAACTGGGCCTGTATTTGTTTGGATTGGTTAAAAATCGAGGCAATCCAAGCATCTTTAAGAGAAAGGCACTTAAAGGAAGGAAGATACTTGTTCAAAGTGATTTTATCGCCTGTTGGATAGGGCCCTGATAAAAAAGATTTTGGTTATTGATTGCAGTAAGGGAAGCAGCTGTTATTTGTTCACAAAGGGTTAGCGTGGTCAGCTCAAACACTTGCGTGGGTTTTTGAAATTGATCTTGTGCCCTCATCCATTTTCTCGTTATCTGGGATCAATTTAATCTTTAACCTTGCTTGGACTAACACTGCTGTGTTTCAGCACGGTGGGGAGCTATATTTCAGTGACGTCTATGCTAGCCTTGAATTGCCAGAAGAAATCAAGACACACAAAGTTTTATGGGGTAGGTGTTCTTGGTTGTTTTGTTTTAAGGTAGATGATTATGTACAGAGATCCGTCCTTCCAGAAGGAGGGTATCTGATGTGAGATCAGATGGATGGGGTAAGGCCAGGAGGCTGAGGTTCCATTCTTTTCCTTTGCCACTCAAAAGGGATGTGATCTTGGGCAAATTAATTAATCTCTAAAGTTGTTGCTTTCCAAACTGTAAAATGTAAATAATGATACAATCTGGCTGTTATGAAGATTAAATGGGGTAAATAATATGAAAAATACTTGGAAAAATACAGTGTGGAAATGAAGGCAACCAGACAGAGTCCATGCCCCCTAAGTCCCCTTAATGTTCTCATCACTGTTATGTTGCCTTTATTGTCACTTTAATGGAGTCTCTGGAAGTTGAAAATATTCATGCATTTTTGTGGTCAGTCTATGAAATTAAAAGTTGTTTTTATTTTTTGTATTGTTTTTGTGGTTCTGGGGAGTGTACCAGGCAGTGTGGGTTCTACCACTGAGCCATGTCTCCAGACTTGAGACGGGGTCTCACTATAAGTTGCTGAAGTTGACCTTGAACTTGTGATAACTCTACCTCAGCCGCTTGAGTCACTGGGATTGCAGGTGTGCGCCATTGCGCCTGGCAACAATATGCAGTTTTAATCAGGAGTTTCTAAGCCTTGGAGGATGTTTATCTTAGTTTCTGTTTCTAGGCCTTAGGTTTTAACTAATATTATGTCATAAGTAATTGTATGAGTATTAGTTTCTTCATTACTGCTTTATGAATTGATTAATATGTATTTTTTTTTAAGGTGAGTGCCTAGGTGGTGCTTTGTACTGGAAGGATCTTTTCTTCCTTGCCCAAAAAATTGGATTCTGCCCTCCACGTTTAGTCACTGCCAATCTCATTACAATTCAAAACAAGGAACTTGAAAGAATTATTGGTAAGGAAAAACAGAAGGGACTATTATAATTGCAGCCTGAATGGTTTAAATTTGGTTATTACTGTCTACTGAGTGATTCTCCCAGGGGAGACTTTGTCATCTGGAAACGTCTATCATGTCTCTTAAATAATGTCCACCCCCTCCAAAAATTTGATATTTAATAAATCATTTTGAAGTTATTCAATAAGTAGAATGAAATGCTCAGAAAGGTTGTTGGCAGAATGCGAAGAGGAATATCATCTTTATGAAATGTTCTATCCTCATGTGCTGAGCAAAATAACACTGTTGAAGTGCTGGAGGTGAACCATGGGTATCTCTTTCTAGGTGATTGTCGTTTTGTTTCGGCCACATTTCGTCTCTTCAAACTCCCTAACACTGGACCAACTGAAAGATGCCAAACTATTTACAGTGGAGGAATCACAGGACATGAAAAACAATTAATATTTGATGCAAATTTCATATTTAAGGTAAATAAAAACACACATGGTACTGGGGCAGGTAGGTCAGTGGTAGAGTTGCTTCTTGTCTAGCATGTGAGAGACCTTGTGTCAAACCCTAGCATTGCAGGAGGAAGGAAGATGTCCATGGCCTCTGGCAGTCTTTCTACTCTTGTTCTTGCTTCAGGCACGTTTTCTTGACCTTGCATTATGTCTTATTTTTTATAGCTTTGTTTTGTTTTGTTTTTGGTTTTGGTACTAGGGATTAAATCCAGGGGTGCTTAACCACTAAGCCACATTCCCAGTCCTTTATAAATATTTTATTTAGAGACAGATCTTTCTGAGTTACTTAAAGTCTCACTAAGTTGCTGATGCTGGCTTCAAACTTGGAATATTCCTACTTCAGCCTCTTTAGCTCCTGGCTGTTTGTAAGTGAAGTCAAAAAGTACTTTCCCTATATTTGTTATAAACAATGTTTTTAAATACAGAAAAATAAAAAAAAAATTAAAAAATTCAGTGAATACCTATATACCTACTACCTATTTCAGCAACTGAGAACATTTTGTCATGTTTGCTTCAGCTGTTTGTACAAATATCTGTATATATATATATATATATATATATATATATATATGTATGTATATATTCCCATGTGGTCATGTGCTGTGTAACAATGTTTCAGTCAAGAACAGACTGTAGATATAACAATGGTCCGATAAGATTACCTAGAGACAATGTAGCAATCATAAAGTCATAGCACAACATATTACTCATATGTTTCTCCTGTTGTGTATATAAACAAACCTACTCTTCTGCCAGTCCTGTAAAAGTATAGCAAATATAATTATGTATAGAACATAATATTTGATAATGATGATAAATGATGATGATATTACTGGCTCAGATGATATTACTGGTTCACATATTTATTGTATTTTACTTTTTATTGAAAAAAATTTTTGTTTCAGTGCTAGAGATTGAACCCAGGACCTTTAGCATGTTAGGAAAGCACTTTACCATTGAGCTATATCCCTAGCCCTTTTATTGATATTTTAAAGTATACTTCTTAAAGAAAAAAAGTTTACTGTAAAAGAATATGTTGCATTATTCCAGTAACATGTGCATATATCTCATTGTTTACTCTTTTGATTTTATTTTATTTTGTGCTTGATTTAATCTTGTATTGTTTCATTCATCATGGCCCTGGGAGCAATGAGTATATGTATTATGTGTATATACACCTACACAGCACATAGCCTAGATGTGTAGTAGGCTATACACCCAGATGTGTGTAAGTACACTGAATGAAATTACCTGTGTCAAGATGAGACCTTGTCCAAATTTAAAAAATCAAAATCACTGGGGATGTAGCTTAGTGATAAAATGCCCTTGGGTTCAATCCCAAGTGCCAAAAAAGAAAAAAAAAAGGAAAAGAAAAAATTTTCATATAGAGAAGTGAGATGGAAAAGAATAGAAGCACTACATAACAGTATTTCAGGGTTTTTTGGTTTTTTTTTTTTTTTTGGTACTAGGGATTGAACTCAGGGGCACTTGACCACTGAGCCACATCCCCAGCCCTATTTTGTATTTTATTTAGGGACAGGGCCTCACTGAGTTGCTTAGCATCTCGCTGAATTGCTGAGGCTGGCTTTGACCTTTCGATCCTCCTGTCTCAGTCTCCCGAGCCACTAGGATTACAGGAATGCACCACTGTGTGCCTGGCAGTTTTAACTGCATCATAGAACTCAAGAGTTTTAGAGTTTAATGATAACACTAACTTCAATGTACTCTTTATAGGGTAGACTTTGTTTTCTCAAGATGGAAAAGTATTGACTTTGGAATCAGATACCTGGGTTCAAATTCTGGCTCTGATATTTATTATTTGGGTAAACTAGAATAAGTCACCCAAATTATAATAGAGCAGTTTGCTCTACTATAAAGTAGGAATAATAATAACCAATTTTGCTAAGTTTCTGTAGAGATTAACAATAATATAGCAAAATACCTGGTACATATATACTGAAATATCAGTAAACAAGGTGCAGCCATTATTTGTTCCAAAGATAGAAGGACTTAATTATCTTCATCTTCTGAGTTTTTGATCCAAATCTTATCTTCATGATTATTACACACTGGTGGAGTAGAACCCTCGGAGCTGCTTCAAGGACCTCTTGCTACTTGGTGTACTGTTAGGTCCTGTGGAGTCACATAGCAAAGTGGAAAGGACTTTGAGATCATTATCTGCTCTAGGGGCTTTCAAAACAACATTTTAATAGCATTTAAAAACAAATCTCCTTTAAAATGCCATGTGTCAGGGGCTGAGGTTATGGCTAACGATAGAGCACTTGTCTAGCACGTGCAAGGCCCTGGATTTGATCCTCAACAC